GGGCGGGCCGGATCCTGCAGTCTGCTCCAGTGTTTGACCTCTCCGTGGCTGCAGTCAGCCCCTTTTGTGCCCCATCCCTTTGATTTCCCCCCACCCCTGTCCTCCCCAACGCCCCTGTCCCACCTTTGACCCTTCCCCTGAGGGTTCCTTTATCAGTTTTGCGCAGTCCCACAGGACCCTCAGATATCCCAAATCCTCTCATCCATCATTTCCCACTTCTTATCAGTTACAAAGGCCAGGCCGACCCTCTCCAAAGCTGAGCTTGGAGTTTCTTAACGGCCCATCAACTACTGGCTGAAAAGTTTTGCTGTTGTCTCCATTATCTATCAGGTTTGTTTCTCTGTGTGTTTTCTGTCTTTCCCTGTCACTTACTCTTCCCTTCGAGCTGCAAAGTTCTTGATCTGACAACCTCAATGAAGCAGATGCTCTCACCTTCCACATACCCTTGCGGGGACTAGAAGGATTTTGGGAAGAGGCAACAAAAACAACCAAAGGCCTAAAATAATTTCCATGCAAGGAAGAGCTGGGTGAAGCAGGACTCTCCAGTCTGGAAGAGGGATGACTGAAGGGGTGGGGAAGGGCTCTGTAAAATCTTGAGTGACTTGAAGAGGACATTCGGCTGTAATTGCTCGCTGTCTCTTTTAATACAAGAGCTAAGACACATTAAATAAAATAGCAGGTGGCAAGTTTAAAACCAATTACAGGAGGTGTTTTTCACTCAACAGGATTAAGCGTTGGAACATTTTGTTAGAGTGAACTGCAAACGCCAGAAGTCTGCAGGGGCCTAACTGAGCAGTAAGACAAATCCACAGGAAAAAAAAAAAATCCATTAAGGAATATTCAACACAAAACACTGCTCTTGGTTCAGGAAGTGCCGGAGCCTCAGATCGATAGAGGTTAGCAGAGAAATGATCCCCCTGTGCTTGCCGTGCGCTTACTCCTTTCCTGAACACTGCCCAGGTCACAGCGTTGGCTGACCAGACCTTCGAGCTCTCCCCAACAAGAACAGAGGAGCACTTGCCCGAGGAGCAGCAGACCAGTCTGCAACCACACCACCTCCCATCCCAAACCGAGGACAGTGAGAGAGAAGCTGCCTGGAGCGGGGTCCAGCCCCATGGAGCATCACCGAGTGTGTGGCAAGGAGACAGGACATTGGGTTAGGAGAGTCCATGGAGTCTGAAAGGTGGGAGTCCTTTGCTGCCATCTCACCCTGGACAACCATGGTGAAACAGCCTTCTTGCTGCTGCATCTTCTCACCTTGCAGGGAGGAGTTTTGCACCAGGAGCTGCTCATCTCTGGTGATCCCAGTGCCAGAAAGGCGTTCAGACCCTGTAAAGCATCATTTAAAATGTTATTTATTAGAGCTAACACTATAAAGAGAGAACAGCATAGATAATCTTACATCCTTTGAGATGCTGGGAACCCCGAGTTGTGCAGGGTGGAATGGGTCTCCGGTCAGCATGCAGCACGCTGTGCAGACCTCACTGAAGAAAGGGTTACCCCATTTTGGTCATTCGAGCTATTATAAGAAAATCTGTTCCCATAACCAGAGCTTCAGCAAAGAGACCTTGACACAGGAGGAAGAAAGGGCAAGCAAGGTGGTGGGGACTGTGGGGCCACAGAAGACAAAACGTTGCATTTGCTATCCATCCCATCACATATGTGACACTTTCTCCCCTTTTGAACACATTAGAGGAAGAACCTTTGTAATAAGAGCCAAAAAAAGCAGGATCCATGTGCAAGCTTGTGACAGCCTGTGAGAGGACCAGCCAGGGTCTGGATGACATTTCACAGTGCATTTTGCAGACTCTTTACCCAGAATATCTCCTCCAGCAGAGTTGGGACCAAGTGCTGGGTCACTGCACGTACGAACATGGGGCGACTGCTGCCCTTGGAGGGTCCAGCTACCATCATGTAAAACCAGTGTGGGCATGGGCTTCTTTCAAATGAGCAATGGACGGATGCTGCAGAGTGGGTAAGATACAAAATGGGGGAAACAGATTAAGGGTGCCTGCATTACTGCTACCCACACCACAGCACATCTCTGCTTGGCAGCAGAGAGCAGATAACACAATTGTGTGGAACAATACCACTCAGGCAGCTGCTTGCAGCTGACTTGCAGGTCATCAGAGCAGATAAATACACCGGTCTCATCTGGCCACAACACAAGAATGAACTTGAAATGCCATGCAAAGCCAAGAGCAGGTGGGACTAGTCATAGCTCTGCCCACCCCAGGCTTCAGCTCCCAGCCCCCAGCAGGTTGTGAGCCTGCTGCTTGGCATCACCCAGCAGACTGCAGCAATCCTTCCATGCATGCACAGGCAAAGCCAGGGCTCAAGAGACTTATTTCTTATTTAGACCCAATGCTACCTTGCGTTGCCCGAGTGCAATGCGGAGAAGAAGGTTTCTCTAGCGTGTGTCTGTACAGCTCCTTGCACAGGGGGGACGTGATCCCCAATGCTCGTGAACCGAAGGCAGATTTGACTCTGATTCCCTATTGTTTGTCTGTTCCCCTGGGACCCTTTATTCAAGGTCCCTGGCGGGCTTCAGAGACCTCATAAGCAGCTGTTGTGGACTTGGTGAGTCTGGCTTGGGCTTTCTCACCACAGTCAAAACTGAGCCTCAGCCGCAGGAGAATTTGGTAAGTTTCCAAAATGCAAAGGGCAGGAACGTTGCCATGAGGTTTCATACCTCAGGCAGCACTTGCAGAGCCTGATCTTGATGCTTAGAGGTTTCACTATATGGTACTCAAGGGCAAAGTAAGGAAATAGTGTTTAATCCCTTCTCTCTGTTCTAATTAGTATGTTAATACATGTGGGGGTTTTTTCCTAGTTACAGGAGAGTTAGAAAATATTAGATCTAGAAAGGATCACTGTGATGATTTGTTCTGACATCCTGCATCACACTTCCAGATGAATTTCATAACCAATTTACTCATCAAGCCCATCGTATGGGCTTCAGGCAAATTCAGAAGAATTTCTGCTCTTAGCTTTACAGTTCCAAAAGATGAAGAATTTGTCATCTGTCCTTTCTTATTTTCAGATTTGCAAACTAGCAGTGTCTCATTTAATCCAATTTCTGTGTAACTTCAGTTTCCAGTCACTGGGTCACGTTGTGCTTGTGGGTTATATTGAAGAGTCATCACTGTCAACCATGCACCAACTGGCGGACAATTTTTAGATCAATTCAGCTTTTCTTTTGCCAGTCACGTAGTCTAAACTAAATAAGTCCTTCAGTGAGAGACTTGTTTCCTCAGAGAATAAGGAAAAACTCTCTCCTTTGATAAAGACTAGATGATCGTTGTAGGTCCCTTCCAACTGAAATAGTCTACTCTACTCTATATAACTGCAAGGTTTGATCTTATACAATGTTCATTATCAGTGCCCTTCCTGAAGTTTCTGGACCTCCATTTCCCTGGAAAGATCTCTCATTTGTAGCAGTGACTCTGTTGTTGTGCAGGGATTCAAGGGTTTCCATTCGGGAGAGATTAAGCAGCAAGCATTGCGTCTCCAGTTCCCTGTCTCACACACAAGCACCGGCTGCTTTGTTCAGGCTATTCCGCATGCCATACGTGGGGGACTCTGCATTGCCACAAGATTTATTCCTGCAGCTCTCTTTCTCTGAAAGCTCTTTCTTTCTGCTGATACCTCAGGTGAAATTTGCATTAAATTTATAATTCAATTTTCTTCAAGATGTTATTTAATTCTTATCTATTGGATGAACAATTACAGGTTTTGTTGGATAACAAGTTATATTTACCATGAAAAAAATTAAAACACACCAGTACTGTAATCCACCTTCCCAAGACAAAAATCTGGATCACAGGGGGTGCAAAAGTCTAACTCACTGCTGGATGGACATGCGTGATCTAATCACGATTCATGACTTTAAACCAGCAGTATTTAAAAACAAACATTGCTGTTGGGAACTTCTAACATATTGAGGTAGCTGATAAATTTCAAAACTCCTTGATGCTTTTGTCTAAATTTTTCTCTCATTCATGAATATTTTATCCCATAGTCATCAATGAAAAGGGAAAAATAATCAGCAGCACATTCATTAACCACTGCTATGAGCCTGGGTAATTTATTAAATTTGTGTCATCTGCATATGTAACTATGCGTATGTCTGTTTTCTGGTTTGTGGGCAGTACACTTATTTTTTGAGGTTTTTTTATTTCAGTGTAGATGCTCCTGGTCTATCACGTGGTTGTCAACAGCTCCAGCTCCTCCTGTTGCATGTTCATCCTGGCAGGCATCCCGGGACTGGAGGTTTCCCACATCTGGCTCTCCATCCCTTTCACTTGCATTTACATTGCGTCCCTTGCGGGGAACTGCACAATCCTCTTTGTCATCGGGACCGATCCAAGCCTCCATGAGCCCATGCACCAATTCCTATCCATGCTGGCCATCACCAGTTTGGGTTTGTCTATGTCTACAACGCCAACTGTGATGAGTGTTTTCTGGGCCTACTACGGGGAAATCAGTTTTGATGCCTGTTTTGCTCAGCTTTATTTCGTTCATTCCTTCTCCTTCATGGAGTCCTCGGTACTTCTGGCCATGGCCTTTCATCGGTATGTGGCCACCTGCTACCCGCTGAGATACACCTCCATCCTCACCAGTGCAAGGATAAGCAAGATTGGGCTGGCTGCCCTGTGCAGAAGCCTCTTAGGAGGGCTGCCATCACTCTTCTTGCCGAGAAGGTTGCCCTTCTGCCAGTCCCATGTGCTCTCCCATGCCTACTACCTGCATCAGGACCCGATCAAGCTGGTATGCGCAGACATCACATTCAATAGCATGTATGGGTTAGCTGTGGTCATCCTCATAGTGGTACTTGACCCATTGCTCATTGTTTTGTCATATATTATGACATGCTTTCCCTCTCGTTCATGTCTTCCTGGCCAACATCTACCTGCTGGTTTCCCCTGTGCTGAACCTCATCATCTACAGCACAAAAAACAAACAGATCTGCAGGGGCATCCTCGAGGTCCCCATGCCAAGGAAGAGCTTCTCCCCATGGCACCACAGCGCATAAAGTACCTTTTCTAACTGTTCACCATAAACTGGTGGGATGAACTCATTATGCTGTGTACACCATTGTTACTAATCGAATGTGTACTTCTGGGTGAAGATAGAAGCAATTAATATTCAAATTAATTTAAATCATTGTCCGTGCTCCTTTATTCTGTGATTTATCACAGAATTTTCTCTACTCTGTGAGGTGTGTTGTATTTCCACTGCCCACCGAAGGAGGTCATGCTCCAGAAAAACTTAAATATGCAGGGCTTTTCTTCTCTTGGCCACTGAGGTTGTAACATATCTTGCTCAAGTATTTTTGAGTACTGTAATGAAGAATTAAACCCCAGCCTAGGAAATAATTCAACGTGTGATTAAACCTATGTGATTAGTCACATTGTTTGCATTCACTAAGTAAGAAGCCATTCAGTCACCAGTTATGAAGCCATCAGGAACCAAATAAAGCACAAGTTTTAAACTCCTTTGTATCCTACCTAAATGTGGGTGATTGCAAGTCTTGGATGAATATTTGCCCACTTGTTTTTCATGCATGCTTAAGTCTACCTTAGGGAGTATAGTCTTACTAGGTACCTAGGTAACCTCATCAGTAATACCACATAAGGTCAGGATGACTTAGGTAATGTTATCAGAAATATCAAATTTGGACAGTCATGCAGCAGAACTGGGGCCAATGGAGAAAAAAGTAATGAGAGGCAACTTGTTTACCTGGGAGAAGATTGGAGTGGAGAAAGGAAAGGTCAAAGGCCATGAAAAGGAGGGTCAAGAAATGGTAAAAGAGATAATGAGGCATGCAAGTGATGTGTTTGGGGCTGTCCAGGGTAACAGCTGGGCCACCCTGCACTTGACCTCTATATCTGGAGCAGAACCAAAACCCAAAAACCATGCCACGAGAGTCAAAGCTGTTCCTGTGCTCAGGAGGACTGGGAGAGGCAGTCTGCTTTCCCTGGTTGATGGAGAATACCTGGGTGAATGGACCAGGCATCCTGGCATCACCTTGTCAGCATCTGCCCAACACTTCCGAACAGAGTGGTTGCTAAATGGCTTGCTTTAACGGTACACCATAAATACTCTCAAATCATGAAGCTATGATGGCCATGTTATAAAGCCATGCAGATGTGCACTCACTCTCCCTACGTAGAAAGCACACCGTCCATCGCTCCTGCCTCCATGTGTCTGATATGCACTTTAGCAGGAAGAAATATTGTGCAGCAGACTTTGGGTGGCTGATTCTCCAAAGAATGCCCTATCTAGTAAAGTCTATAAGGCACATGTGTTCCTGCTTTTAAATTATTTTAATGACATATCTAATACCTTTGTATGCTTTAAGCAAGAAAATCAGTCACTTGAGAAATTAAGTGCCTCTGAGGACTCCCCACAGTGGCAGATATATGAGAAAGATTGCACTTGAAGCAGTTACCAATCTCGATTGTCAAGGATAGAAAGTTAAAAAGGGAAACAAGTTTTTATAGTTGAAACCTATAATGTCCTTAAGAGTACACATGCTTCCAGTCTGAAGAACGAGCACTGGGTGCGTCCAGCATCCTGTACCTGAAGTATGTAACAGCACAAACTCTTCTTAGACTTGTAACCTAATAAAAGAGTTTATTTTGAAAAGTTGTGCATACTCATTAATACAGCTGGGAATTGGGATGGTGTTACCATGGGTCCCCTGAAGCAAACAGACTCCCTGATGTCTGTGGCATTATGCACGGGCACATCTGTGAGGGTCTGGATGAGGGGTTGACTCCATACACTTTTTGTTGGAGAACTGTCTTCCTTTATTTATTCTCCCCTAGTAGGTTAAATGTGCCAGCACAAAATGAATTTATACAGTTCAGTTAACTGGCTGAGAGACTTAATGTCTACTTAGATCAGGTTTCTCTGGCCCTTGTTCCATGGAGTTTTTAAGATTTCCAGGGACTGAGATCCCACCCCCATGAGGAAGAATTTTTCCTTAATTGTCCAACTGAATTTTCCCCTATTGCAACTTTTGTACCCATTCTCTTGTCTTTTCATCTCTAATGAGTCTGACTCCATTTTATCTGTAATCTCTTTCAGGTATTGAAAGACTTTAATTAGAAACCTCTTTCGCCTTCTTTTCTTCTGATTAAAAAAACCCAGTTGCTTCAGCCTCTCCTTGTATATTGTGAGCTCCAACCACCTGACCGTCTTAGTGGTCGCACCTGGACTTGTTCCAGTTTATCATTACTTTTGCATGTATGGAAGGATCCACAACTGGACAAAGTACTCCAGATGCAGTCACACACTTGCTGATTAAAGGAAAAAATCTCTTCCCTTGACCTGGTGGTTGCACTCTCACAAATGCAGTCCCGTCTGCAGTTGGCCTTCATTGCTGCAGGGGCACACCGAGGACTCATGTCCAACCTGCTGTCCACCAGGCCCTTTCTGAAGAGCTGCTCTCCAGCCAGGCAGTCTCAGTCAGTACCAATGCAGGGGCTGTTCTGTCCCACGCGCAGGAGTTCGTGGGGTCTTTATGAACTTCAGTTGAGAATTTCCAAGTGCATTTTCTCACTGTTTTGACAGGGCTCAACCCTGCAAAGCGCTAGGTGCCCAGCCCTGACTTAGTGGCTCATGAATGCCCCACCAGAGTTAGATGAGTGCCTAAGCACTTTAAACAACCCACCTCCCGAGCCCACATCTCTTTCCGCACTTCACGTGTCCAGGTAATGAAGTCACTCTGAACTGCAGCAACATCAAATCCTGCAAGTCTTAGTGTGCCCCAGGACAGGGAGACGCTGGGACTGGCCCTGACTCCAGCAGCTCTTCTGTAAGGAGCACGTTATTTCAGGCGTCTCTTAGGCACACAGACATGCATATATGCCTTAGTCATGATGACTCACACTTGATACAGAATCAAAAATGAGCAAATTTTAATTCTGGAAGAAATGATTCATTAGCATAAGACCATTATTTATTGCCATCATGACGTTGCCTAAAAGGAATGCAACAGGCTCTATTTCAATGTGTATTTGCTCTCTACTTGCACCTGGACTGGGGAGGTTTAGTAAGATCTATTGCCAAGCAGCCAGTGGAATGAAAGGCTTGGTACCTAAAGTCCATTAAACACCTTTGAAAATCTCTGTCTAAAATGTGAAAGCCACAACACTGCTAATTGGTAAGCTTCATGCACAAAGGGAAAACCTATCAAAGAATACTGCAAGCCGCTCTTTAGTTCTTACTTCCATTTCAACTAGGCTGACATTGAAATTAATAGAAGACATCTGTCTGCTTTCCTTGTACAAGCAAGGTGCGGTCCTCTCGAGTGGTCACGATTTAAGCTTTCTCAGTTAGACTAAGACATCCTTGAGCTGAAGGTGGTAGCTCAAACCTCTAGGAAAAAAAAAAGCAGAATAGTTAAAGGTTTGTGAGCTGCACCCACCCTACCCATCCATTTGCTGGGGATCTCCTTTGGGAACAAGTCCAGAGACCTGAGCTCACAGCCTGAAGAAGTGGCTGGGGACTGATCCATCCCATTCGAATCTGTTTCCCAGGAGCACTTGCCCTTTTTGCTCTGTGCTTTTCTGACTGCGATTCTGTGATTTTACACACATTCCCCCTTTTCTAATGACAGGTTGACCTGCATGTGTTTTGTTTTCACAGAGCAGCTTATGCAACCACTGGTTATCGTGACAGCCCTTAGCATCACCATCTTCCAGCCTGCCAAGTTGCACCTCTGAGGGATGGAGCAGCGTATGAGAATGACAGCAGAGACCTGCCTCAATTTAGATAGCATCTTCTTTTATAAGTACCTCGGCTGAAGAACAGATGAGCTATATCTTCAAAGTGCAGAAGTTCCTGGTGATTTAGGGTGGATTAATGTTATGGTACTCAAACTGAAACATTGCTCTGTGATCCAATGCTGAAGACAGACCCAAGTGCTTTTTTGAAAACCAGTATATATGAAGAATTTTCAAGCCGAGTACCGAAACAATGAGGTAGCAAACGTTTCTAGTCACTTTTGAACATTTAGGCCATTATGTGACCACAGAGAACATTAAAACCCAGCAATAATAAAAATCTGGGGCTTCAAGAGATGAATTCTGTACCTTCTGTGCTTTGCCTGACACAGGGGCTGCTAAGTTCAAACACATAACTGTTGTATGCTCACGTATCTTCAGTTTCCCCATGCATAATATCACTGGAAATAAAGTCAGAATACATGAAGATAACAGATACAGACAACCTCCAGTTACTGCAGTGTCTGGAGACTGCAATGTCTATAGGGTAAGCCTGGAGTCCAGGCTTACAAAATGATAGGTACCAAAGGGAAAGGACCCAGAAAGAGTTAACACTTGCTCTAGGACTAGATTCACAGTGGGGATTTTACACATGGAAACACCAGGCTCTCCCAAAGTTCCCATGAGACTCCAGTCCCCAAGGTGTTTCAAGGATGTTATGAACGTGAGAGTCACCAACCTGAGAGATGGTGTCTGAGAGGCCAGGTCAGCTATTTACTCAGCTTTATTTCTTGCATAATGACTGCAACAGCCAAATCACCCTTGGTAGGTGAGACAAGGAGCTTGATTTATTGGCACTTCTAATTCTGGCTTTCAACAGGAGTAAGGAGCACTTCAGCTGTGAGATGGCTTTGCTTTGTTTTTAAAGCTTATAATCAGGACACACAAAAAAAGGTTTACCTTTCATCAGGAAACTTTTTCCTAGGTCAGACTGCAAATGGGTACCTTGCCTTCACTTCTCTGGGAGGGTTTGTTTACATCTACCTGTCCTTCCCTCTTCTCAGCTTTTTAATGTCTGGCAGGTGAACCATCCTGAGAAAGCACAGTGCAGCCTTGCAAAGCCAGCAAACCTCTCTAGTCCTTTTAGACTGAAAAACCAGAGGTCAGTTTGTAGATGAGGCACAGTCTGCCCAGTACAACGGTTCCTTGTCCCAGGCATTAAAAGTCAGGTTATGCTCCAGTGACTTTTCCCCTTCCTGCTCTTGAGACCTACACTGCTGGGCTTTTTTCATGGTCACCAGACTCTTCCAGGATGAGGAAGGTTCAAGATAGCTCATTATCTTTCTTCTATTTTTCTTTCAGTTTTTTGAACCAGAGGAAGGTGAGTGATGGGTGGTAAGTGGATTCTTCCCATGTGATGGCAGTGTGCCTGGTGGGAGCAGGGAAGGTTGGAGTCCCTGCTGCCCTGAGGGACAGGAGCTGCTCCAGGGTGCAACCCTGGGTCTGGAGACCGCAGGGTGCAGGGAAGGAGCCAGGCTAAACACAGATGGAGCCGGGCTCGCTCTGCAGGAGGAGGGCAGGGACATGTGATGCAGCAGGAGGGTGGGAGCAAAGGCCCCAGGTCCTCTTTTAAAAGGGTGCAGTAGGAAGATGGTAAGGCACAAGACTTATGTCCTAATTGGGAAATAAGATGTGACTGGTCCTGGCTTGGTTATTTGGAGGGTGTATGTGCACTGCTTGGGGAGACGGGTCTGCTGCTGCTGCAGCTGCTAATGGTACCCAAACGAGCTAATTCAGGTATCACTCTGGCAGGGAGTACATCTCAGCCAGCTCATCTGGCATTCGCAGCATGCACACATGCACACACACACACACACGTGCACATGATATCCTCACCATCCCTTGCTGCATGCTGGAAAACTTGGGGCGCACTCTGCCCACAAGGACATGCAGCTGTACCCCTCGCAGGTCCAAAGGACTGACACACTGTGTTCCCGGGTGAGCCAGGCTTTCAGCCTGCATGCCTCTGAGAGCAGAGGCATTCGCCTTCATTTCTGCGTAAAACTAGAGCACATACTAGCTCCAAGAGAAAGCAAGCCCATGTTAATGACTGTTCGGTTTCTTTAACAGCATTTCAGGAGACAAACACAGTATGTGACAGAGATCTCAGAGGCAGCTTAAACGTTGGGACTGGTTTGGCTCAGCAACTCCCAACACCTCCGATGCGCTCATATTCCCTGGGACAGGTCTGCTGTAAACACAGAGGTACCAGGTGATTGTAAAAGTCATGTGCAGTGAAAGGGCTGGAAGACACTTCACCTGCCAACCAGCCCCCCAAAGGACTCGGGACTTGCCCCTCCAGCCCCCCAGAGAAGATCTTCCTGGGAACATCTCCCTCATGCTGCAGGGACACACCCTGACTGCAGGTCTTCAGCTCGTGATGCTTTTCCTTTTAATCCCATCACACCAAGATTCACATCCATAGCTTCTTGTGGGGAGATCTGGTGCAACCAGCTCAGCTGCTGCTTGTGCTGACAGCCTTCAACATCACCATCATCCAGCCCGCTGCCTTCCTCAGTCACCGCTGGCCTGGAGGCTGTCCACATCTGGCTTGGTCTCCTCATCTGCACCGTCTACACCATCTCCATTGTGGGGAACTGCACCGTTCTCTGCATTGTAGGAGAAGACTGACATCTCCATCAACCTATGTACTTCTTCCTTTGCATGTTGTCCCTCAACAACCTCAGGATCTCATTCTCTACCCTGCCCACAGTGCTCAGCACCTTCTGCTTTGACCTGAGAAGTCAGCTTCAGCACCTGTTTGACCCAAATACTTTTCATCCACTCCATCTCCTTAACTTGGGGCTGCTGCTGGCCATGTCCTCCATTGTTTCATTGCCATCTGTAACCCACTGCACTACATGTCCACCCTCATTGGCACCAGGATCCTGGGCACAGGGCTGGCTGCTGCAGTGAGGGGCTTTGGTGTGCTATCACCCTTGGCTTTTCTTCTTAGGTGCCTGCCTTTGCTGTGCCAAAGCCCTCTCTCATCCCTACTGTCTACACCCAGATATAATGAAGCTGGTACGTGCAGATATTTCCCTCCATATTTTGTATGGTCTGTGTGCTGTTATCCTAGTCTTTGGAATGGACTCATTGCTCATTGTCATCTCCTACGTTATGATTTGGACAACCACCATCACTGCCGTGTCTCAAGGGCAGCATCTCAAAGCCCTGTGGACCTGCGTCTCCCATGTCCTCTGTCTCTACCATACATTGGTTTGGGGAGGACCTTCCTCTTCTTCTGACGTCCAGTATTTACCGCTCTGTGCCTCCTGTTCTCAAGTCTCTCATTTGCAGTGTGAACAACAAGCATATTTGAAAGGGCATCCTCAGAATGATCTCCAGGCAGCAGACCTAAACTGCCTGTGATTTAGGAGTGCGAGTTTGGAGAGATTCAAGTAATTCAGCCCAGACCCTTTCTGTCACAGGGAACCACAAAGCATAGTCCTTCTTATAACGAGGTTGAATTCCACCTCAAATAATTGGGATTTTTGTCCCTACTGCTCCCCTGGGAAGCTGTCTCTAACCAACAGAGGAGAGAGAGTTTCTAATTCTCATTTATAACAGTCTGTTCAGTCAATAGTTTTGTACCACTTGTGTCTGGGCGGGTAAGTGGTGAGCGGATAAGGTCTATGCATCTTCATGCAGAGTTCGTCTTACAAAGAAATGAAACCCATTGTGCTGTCCTGAACTCTGCTGGCCAGCCGTGGAAGGGGCAGGAGGCGCATGGCCGAGCAGTGCATGTCATCAGCCGCAGACCGGTGTAAATCCAGCTCAGGAGCTGCCACCCAACTCATTGCACAGTGTTAAGCAGCAGAATTGGAGGAGCCGGTCAAACGCCTGTGGGTGTCACCTGCCCTTGAGACACTGATGAGCCGTGCACCCCCCACGTGCTGCACCCAGCCTTAGCGGTGGGCACACAAGACATGCGAGGAGGGGCTGCACGAGCCAGGGGCCGTGGGCACGCGTCCTGCCGGGGGGCAGCGGCAGCTGGCGGGGGCGGGGGCTGGGTCATCCCCCACCCCATCCCGCAGGGAGGAGATTGCGTTCCTAAGAGCAGCCACCCTCCACCCTTGACACTTGGATGACTTCACCGCGTTGCAGTTTGTAATTGTCCCTCTAACTGGGTTTTCAGTAAACCCATGTGTCTGACCAGCCCGCAAACTTCTCTTGGTCTTTAGACTCAGCCATTAGACAACAGCATTATCTGTATTTCTTTCTATATTGCAGAGATCATTTGCTTTTAATGTGTATTTTATCAATACTTTATACTCTTGAATACTGAGAGATGTGAAATACTACTGCCGCCTTGTACATCAAATCAATGTAAACACAATGAGAATATGACAAGAGAAGATGAATATGAGTAATAAGTTATTAAACAATATTTCCTGTATGATTTGTAGAGCCAGAACCTATTTGTTTATTTATTTGTATTACATTACCTGAGAGGCTGCATTTAAAAATTCAGAGTGGCATACTACCCGGGAAATTTGTATCTGTTGCACACGATTTTCTCCTTCTCAGTGGAAGAAATTTCATATTTTGTTGCTCAAGATGTTGACTCATGTGATTCTGTGATGCCAGCTTTTATGTCTTTCATTTACACAGTGTAAATAAAATGTGTTAAACATTTAACACATAAAACGTGTTTAAAAAGAGAAAAGAAGAAAAAATGAAAAATATTGTTACATTGCCTGTTAGGTAGCAGATCTGAAGGAAAAATTGCCTTTTCATTTCACAGAGCAGAATTTTATAATTTGACAAAACGAAAATTAAAATAGTTTTAACACAAAGCTTGTTTGGACTTTTTTTTCTGAGAACAAGAACCCTGGAAGCATTTAAAGTAGCCCAAAATATTTTATATCACTTGCTGTCGTGGTTTAACCTCAGTCAGTAACTGAGCACCATGCAGCTGCTCGCTCACTTCCCCCCTCCCTGGTGGGATGGGGGAGAGAATTGGAAGAGTAGAAGTGAGAAAACTCAAGGGTTGAGATAAAAACAGTTTAATAATTGAAATATAATAATAATAATAATAATAATAATAATAATATACAAAGCAATATGATGCACAGTGCAATTGCTCACCACCCGCCGACCGATGCCCAGCCAGTCCCCGAGCAGCGGCCCCCCCCGGCCAGCTTCCCCCAGTTTATGTCCTGAGCATGACGTCACATGGTATGGAATGTTCCTTTGGCCAGTTTGGCTGTGCCCCCCTCCAGCTTCTTGTGCACCTGCAGCCTGCTCAGTCAGTAGGGCATGGGAAGCTGAAAAGTCCTTGACTAGTGTAAGCACTGCTCAGCAACAACTAAAACATCGGTGTGTTATCAACATTGTTCTCACCCTAAATCCAAAACACAGCACTGTACCAGCTACTAGGGAGGAAATTAACTCTATCCCTGCCAAAACCAGGACACTTCCAATGATAAGAAATTGCTGCATCATAAATAATGTAGACAGGAGAACTTCTTAAGACAGTCTATAGTAGATGATTTCAGCCTTCATTCCTTGATCATTTAATATACCTTGAAGGATACTTGGATCAACTTCCTACGAGATTCCTAGAGAATGCAGAGAGGTAAACTGCTGCACAGCGCACACAACCATGTCCTTTATCAGCACCCTTTGTGAGTTCTTTGGGACTTATGTCCATGACCGATGGTCTCTAATCTGGTCTTTACGATGAACAAGGCAGTTGTTGCTTTTACATTTGGCATGCATAATGTCCCCCACCCTCCTGAAATAGCAGGAAACTCTGTCCCTGCCCACCTCACAGTCATTTACATCCTGGCATTAGCTTATGCTAACATATGGTCCATAGAAAGAAAACCAGCCTTCTATGTTTGTGAGGAAACATTCAAAACCTTCAGGACACCTTTGTGAGAAAAAAGTCAAAAAGCTGATGCTGCTCAGCCAGACTGAGTGCTGGAGGTGACCTGTCCCTCCAAAAGCACAAGACCAGGGGTAGCTGTTGTAAATTATGAACAGTCTTTACAAATAAACAGTTTGCTTTACTTCTGCATTAAGACTGCTTCTCTTTCCTAGGGAACCAGCTTCTGACAGCTTGGGATGGTAATGGCCTAAATCACTCAGATCTTTTGCGCAACTGACGTGCTCCAGGAGCCACAAGTACCAAGGAAGGCGGCTCCAAGCAGCAGCCAGCACAGCCTGGACCACTTACCTGCAGTGCCAAGCCCACCGGATAGCATGTGCACTAACAAAAGCATAGTTTCCCTGATGTTTGAGTCACCAAACCTTGCTCCTCAGTTGGTTCAGTCCAGTTGCAAACAGCTTTCTGCAGTAGGTATTCATATTTGCAGTGATGACTGTGTCAGATTTACACAAGAGCGTTGCATTGATTTTCAAGAGCATTGCTTGGGAGTACTGTGCCTCCCCATCGCTGCCCCACCAGAGCCTGGTGTCTAAACAATCAGCTGCCAAGTTTTGCAGTGCTGTGTGCCACTGTTCCATCTGCAGTCAAACTCAGATCACCAAGTACATTACACTTTCCCTGCCAACTCTTGGTAATTAAACAATATATGACTCTCTTGTTTGCAATTAATTTCTCCAACTTTCTTTATGTCAAGGGCTGGGAAACCTAGACTGAATGTCCCTGTGCCTAGTATAAAGTCCTGAAAACCACAGTATCTTTTCCAATAAACTGCATGCAGGCAATTCCTCTTCCTTATGGCACATCAAAAGACAGTCTGACCTTTTCTGTGTCCTTTAGCAGATAGTAAACTGGATCACCTCAAGGTTATATTTGTTGTGCAGCTGAAGTTGTGAGCACAGAGGTACAGATGCAGACCCAGAAGCATAGATGTGAATCAAATTACTCGCTTGCTTGCATACAAAGCAGCAGGCAACTCATTGAAAAGCAGACATTTTCAACTATAGCAAATTAAGTCCTACTGAGGCAGGCTAAGACTGCTGATAGAAATTACACTGTGCATTCAGCCTTCCTAAAATCAGGAAAGCTTCTTTTGCAATGGGTTAATTCATTCATGTGCTAGGGAGCCTCTCCCCTCTGCAGGTGGGTTTGTGCACATAGACGAAAAGGACAAGTTTTCAGGCACAGACTTTCCTCTCCAGACCTGAAGACAGGCAGTTAAGTCGGTATGGCTCTTATAAGCACGTCTTTTTTGTTGGTTTTCTAATCATGTTTCAATCTCAGTCTTGCAGCCCTTTGCACAGCACCTGAAGTTCTGAACTCCTGTCTTGTGTTTGCCCTGTGCCCCCTTCATGCCCAACAGTCATTGCTAACTCTGCATTCACAGTCACGGTATCTTTTTGTCCCTCCGTTGCTAAACCCCATCATTTACACCAATGAAACAATGGAAATTCATAAGGAAATCATCAGGATAATATCCCAAAACAATACCTGAGCTTGCCCCGATCAGCCTTGGTCAGCTGCCACCCACTTGGGGGGGCTGCAAACCCCAGGAGCTTTACCTGGACGGCCACTTGATGGTGAAAGCTGCTCTCTTCTGGGTGCTCTGGAGATGTCAGCAGCGGTTCACAGACCCATATGATCCCACCCAGTCCCTGTAGGGTTTTCTCACTTTCTCATTTCAGTGGACATCTCTGCCCATATTCCCTGTGCCAGAGACTCTGTCCTCCCCTTCCCACCCAGAGGCTTTGTGCTTCACTTTCCCCCAAGGGCTCAGTGATAGTCTGAAGTCTCCCTTATTACCTGGGTCTGGACACCTAATGTTGGTGTAACACAAGATCTTGCCCTTTTGTCTCTGGGCTTCCACTGCGTTTAGGATCTTGTCTGCAGTGAAGCACAGTGCTCCTTCCCCCTCCTTTGAGTATTGGCACTAACAATCTTCAGTGTTTGCAGCACGCATCTTCTTCCCTAAGTGTCAGCACATGCTGCCTGCTGGCTTGCACTGCCCTTTGACAAAAGCACTTCCATCTTTGTGGTGTAGGTCTGGTTATCCCCAGTTCCACCATCATCAGCCAAGAGGAATTCGCACCCAGCACAGTGATGACTAAAGACTGATTCCTGCAAGAGGATTTGCATGAGAGAGGGGAGCTTTCTCAGGAGAAGGGTTGCCCAAGGGTCAGAGCTGCTAGCACTGCCCAGTGCAATGTGTCCTCCAAGGTGTGGAACAAGTGCCACATGCTGCTTCTTGCAGGGACATCCACTGCCCTTGGACAGCAGCCCCTGGGTTCGCTCTGCTGACCCCCAGGCTTTCTGTCCTCTTCCCATGGCTCTCAGCTTTTCCTCAAGGGTTTTAAGTTTACCCCATGATGGCAGGGCCATTTCTGTCTGCAGTGTGCAGATGACATGCGGTGCAAAGTCACTGTTCTGTCCCTCCTGGACCAAATGTCCACAGTAAGTTTTGTGGTGACCTGGGGTGGGTGAGTGGGGTGTGATGAGAGCGGGTGCGGTCAGCCAAGTGGCCCTTCCTGAGCTGTGTCCCAGGGAAGAGACATGTTGGCTTCCCAATGCACTAGTGAATGGTTCAAAGCTGTGCCAGGGGAAGTTTAGACTGGACATTAGGAAGCATTTTTTTACCAAGAGGGTGGTCAAACACTGGAACAGGCTTCCTAGAGAGATGGTCGATGCCCCAAGCCTGTCAGTGTTTAAAAGGCATTTGGACAATGCCCTTAACAACATGCTTTAGCTTTTGGTCAGCCCTGAATTGGTCAGGCAGTTGGACTAGATGATCATTGCAGGTCCCTTCCAACTGAAATACTCTATTCTATTCTATTCTAGGAAAACCCAGGAGACAGCAGAGTGGTCTGGTGGGACTCTGATGCTGAGAGCTCTCCAGCTGAGCCAAGTACCAGCAGAGCCTTTAGAATCATAGAATCATAGAAACAGAATCATAGAACAGTTTGGGTTGGAAGGGTCCTTTAAAGGCCATCTAGTCCAACCCCCCTGCCGTGGGCAGGGACATCTTCAACCAGATCAGGTTGCTCAGAGCCCCATCCAGCCTGACCTTGAACGTTTCCAGGGATGAGGCAACTACAACCTCTCTGGACAAGCTGGTCCAGTGTTTTACCACCCTCATCATAAAAAATTTCTGCCTTATAGCTAGTCTGAATCTACTCTCTTTTAGTTTAAAACCATTACCCCTTGTACTATCGCTACAGGCCCTCATAAAAGTCTGTCCACAAAATAAGCCTCTGGCAATGAGTCTCTGTGATTGATGTATCTTGAGTCTTTCAAGTCCAAGACAAAAGTAATGGAGATAACAAAACAAATTCATATACTTCTCCTTATAAGCACTTCCATTTGCAGCATCACTTTCCAAGCAGCCTGTTCCGATGTTGCCTGCCCTATGTGTGCCCTGGAAGATGAACTGAACCAGAGGCAGGCACTCCCAGGGATAAACTGTCCGATTTCCACAGCCAAGCCAGGCTGATGTAAATCTGGCTTTGGTTAGACATGGCCCACACCTGTGAGCAGAAGTATGCTGCATGACACGTGTAAACTGAAACACGTCTACAGCCTGGTAACTACTATAGAAAGTAATTATGGAGTAAGCAGAAATAAGGCATCGTTTGTCTTAGTGTTGGCTCAGGACCTATTCCAATTTAGCAGGCATCTGGGTGAGCAAGATTGCTTTCCCACACACAGAGCTACACACCTCACTGAGGGAGCCGGGACTGGCGTTTCTTGAGGTGTCAACAGCATTGCAAATTAAGGCCCAGGGTTTGATTTTACCTGAGTTTTGACCTCTATTGATTCAAACCACTAGTAGAGTTGAGATGGAAGTGGATTTGCGTTAATTTGCCGAAGCAGTGCTGGTGACCCAGGGACCCCAGTGACGTTTCATACAGTTGCTCTGTTGGTCCAGGCTCAGTGGGATCCCGCTGGTGAGACCCCGCCAGGCCATCCACATACTTCACTCACTCCGAAAACGCAGGAAATCTTCCTCCTGAACATTTCTGCAGAGGCTGGTCAGTGACACGGCTGTATCTGCTGGCAATTAAACTGCCACAGGTTCGCTGAACTTAAAGGGTTTTATTGATCAGCAAAGTGTTGTTTATTCAATTCTCCAGCCATCCAGGAAAATTGCTTCTTTATTGTTCTCTAAAGAAGCAATGTTCAGGACAAGACACACATTCCTAAAACAAACCTACTGCAAAATATCAGCCCAGATTTGACACATTCATGCAAGGAGGTTATTGTGTTTTATATGAAGATCGCAGATATGCAGAATTTTCAGTATAAATTAAACCCAAAGTAGTAGTTTGACCTAATGCAACTCAAACATTGCAAACCAAAGCCAAACTTAGATCTGTTTTTTACCTCAAAACTATATTGAATCAGTGATTCCTGGCAAAAAGAAATGCATCATCTCTGTTTTACAAGGGAACCAGTGACAATGCTGTAAATGTGCTGTTTGCTGAGTGTTGTAGCACTAGTTTCTTTCTCTCTGGCAGCTTTTGTGACCATGCTGGATCATCTTCACAGCAATTTTGCAATGTTAGGAGCCAAGTGAGACTTAATTGGTTTTGGAATTGAGATAGTTTCTTTTTTAATTATTTTGTTGAAATCTGGGATACGTAGCAAGACAAGGAATGTCAAGATCTGCACCAACAGAAAAGAAAGATATTAAGTGCTAAAACAAGATTTTGGGGGCAGTTTTCATTACAACAGATCAGGCTTAAGGCAGAGCAGCTGCTGGATTTAGATTGTTTCTCAACCGCTTGTTTAGCACTGACTTTTTCTTGTGCTGTAGAAAATTTTCAGAAAAAAAGCATTTCTGTGTAGTGAAGCAAGACCTAGGCAGCAGAACAGGTGCAGTTTAAAGGCTCTTTAGATATCTTTCTTCAACAGCCAAGATCTGAGGTGCCTTCAGAGACTTTTGAGGATCTAACTCAACCTACATTAGCTGTGGTTTTGGTCTTTTCTATTTTGTATATGGCCACTGCCAGTTGTCTGATCCACTCTGTGGGTGTCAGAGGCAAGTGCATCACAGCTTCAGACTGGCTGAGGCTGGCAGGGACCTCTGGAGGTTGTCTGGGCCAACTGCCTGCTCAAGCAGGGCCACCCAGAGCCATTGCCCAGGACCATGTCCAGACGGCTTTTGAATATCTTCAAGGACGGAGACTCCACAACCTCCCTGGGCAACCTGTGCCAGTGCTTGACAATCCTCACAGTAAAAAGGTGTTTACTTGTGTTTAAAAGGGTTTTCCTGTATTTCAGTTCGTGCCCATTACCTCCTGTTGTATCACTGGACACCACTGGAGAGAGTCTGGTCCCCTCATCTTCATTCCCTCCTATCAGGTATTTGTACACATTGATAAGATTCACCCGAGCCTTTTCCTCTCCAGGCTGAACAGTCCCAGCTCTCTCAGCCTCTAGGAGGGATGCTCCAGTCCCTTCATCAACTTGGTGGCCCTTTGCTGGACTCAGTCCAGCATGTCCATATCTCTCTTGTACTGGGAAGCTCAGAACTGGACACAGTACTCCAGGTGTGGCCTCACCAGTGCTGAGCAGAGGGGAAGGATCCTCTCCATCACTGGTCTTCCTGGTCCCAACCCCAGCAACAGGGAAGAGCTGGCTGAAAGTGTTAACATTACAGCAAATTGCTCATGAATAATTTTATACAAACAATATATATAGGTAACAGTGTGAGTAACATGAGTAAAATTAAGAAATAAAGTGTGCAGCTAGGTCCCATCAAGGTTGAAGTAACATTTGCTTACTCCAAAACTCAAGAAGCAGGCACAAAAGGGCCTTTTGGAGAGGTGAGCTACGTAGGGAACTTGAGCATAATGGAAGAAGTAACCTCCAAGTATTACTGAGAAAGGACGGCCAAGACACAAGTTAAACTGAAGGAGTTGATGGAAGGAAATTCTTGGAGATACCATAACTGTGAAGCAAAACTAAATCATCCACAGTTGTCTTTGTACTGCTAAAACTGAAAACAATAGTTTATGCACCACAGGTGCTAGCAAAAAATTAACATCAGTATTCTCAAATAGAGGAGAAAGCTTTGGCTTATTCTGTAATAGCAATAAATGTCATGCCTTTATTGACAGGAAACCAATATTAGCAGAAACTGGCCATAAAAAAACTCATTGGCAAGAGCAATGGAAGAAAACACTCCAAGTGTGTGATCTGCAAATCAAATACTCAGGATGGAGTTGGCATTTGCAGACACTCTGTCTAGACCTTCTGCAACAATGCAATGCCTCTAAAGCATAACGTCTGGTACCTGTCAAGCTGCTAATGGAGGGCTCAGGTCAGCTCTGGGAGATGTTGTCCAGCACTTTCTCTCTCCAGGACCAGCATTCTTCCTGTGTCATCCCTAATGCTGCTGATGTGAGTATGACCTTTTAGATCGTGACAGCTGCTTAGGCACCACTGGCCATGGCTTTCAATCCACACATGAGCTATGCCCCATCCTGGCCATGCCAG